AAGTCGCCTCGTGGTCTGATCTTCTAATCTAACCTCTTCATATACAGGTGTTTTGTTTTTGTTTTTGCCTAAACTTTCAGTATTCACTCTCCTACTGAGACAAAGAAACCACAGAGGAAAATAAAAGAGAAAGAAACGATTGTTAGAACCGGATGTTAATGTCAGAATGCAGTGGGTAATTGCTTTGGCATTTAAATAAGAAGGGACCTTCTGGATTGCATGCCATTCTCTAGTCTAGGAACACCGCTACTATTAAAAATCAAATAATGGCACCAGGAAGACCAAGAACAATTGCAAAAATATAATTTTCTTAATCAGTATTTATACAGTATGTTCTTTCCAGTAAAAAGATGTAAACATCCTAAAACCAAGATAAATGTATTTGAGATGCATTGTTTTTTTTGTTTAGTCGTAGCCTTTAAGCTGTACTGAAAAATATCAGTCTTTGCCATTTTAATTATCGATATTTGGTAACAGTTTAGTTTAGGGTCCAATGGGTCCCCGTGGGTCGCGTGGTCCCCAAACCGCATAACTTCCGCGTTTGACGCAAGGATGCTCGTGCCTTTCCGGTTGGGGAGATTTAAAGCGGAGGAAAATCGAGGAAAACGGTATTATGGCAGAGTCTTCTAAATTTACTGTCCTCTCGTCTTTGAAACGAAACTTTAATACGTTTAGATGTAATTTTATATATCCATCCATCCATCTTCTTCCGCTTATCCGGGGCCGGGTCGCGGGGGCAGCAGTCTAAGCAGAGATGCCCAGACTTCCCTCTCCCTGGACACTTCCTCCAGCTCTTCCGGGGGGACACCGAGGCGTTCCCAGGCCAGCCGGGAGACATAGTCTCTCCAGCGTGTCCTAGGTCTTCCCCGGGGTCTCCTCCCAGTGGGACGTGCCCGGAACACCTCCCCGGGAAGGCGTCCAGGAGGCATCCGAAACAGATGCCCGAGCCACCTCAGCTGACCCCTCTCGATGTGGAGGAGCAGCGGCTCTACTCTGAGCTCCTCCCGAGTGACCGAGCTTCTCACCCTATCTCTAAGGGATCGCCCAGCCACCCTGCGGAGAAAGCTCATTTCGGCCGCCTGTATCCGGGATCTTGTCCTTTCGGTCATGACCCAAAGCTCATGACCATAGGTGAGAGTAGGAACGTAGATTGACCGGTAAATCGAGAGCTTTGCCTTACGGCTCAGCTCTTTCTTCACCACAACAGACCGGTACATCGACCGCATTACTGCAGAAGCTGCACCGATCCGTCTGTCAATCTCCCGTTCCATCCTTCCCTCACTCGTGAACAAAACCCCAAGATACTTAAACTCCTCCACTTGAGGAAGGATCTCTCCACCAACCTGAAGTGAGCAAGCCGCCCTTTTCCGACTGAGGACCATGGCCTCGGATTTGGAGGCGCTGATTCTCATCCCAGCCGCTTCACACTCGGCTGCAAACCGTCCCAGTGCATGCTGAAGGTCCTGGTGTGAGGGGGCCAACACGACAACATCATCCGCAAAGAGCAGAGACGAAATCGCGTGGTCCCCAAACCTGACACCCTCCGGCCCCTGGCTGCGCCTAGAAATTCTGTCCATAAAAATTATGAACAGAACCGGCGACAAAGGGCAGCCCTGTCGGAGTCCAACATGCACCGGGAAGAAGTCTGACTTACTACCGGCAATGCGAACCAAGCTCCTGCATCGGTCATACAGGGACCGGACAGCCCTTAGCAAAGGACCCGGGACCCCATACTCCCGGAGCACCCTCCACAGGCCGCCTCGGGGGACACAGTCGAAAGCCTTCTCCAAATCCACAAAGCACATGTGGACTGGTTGGGCAAACTCCCATGAACCCTCCAGCACCCTGTAGAGGGTATAGAGCTGGTCCAGTGTTCCACGGCCTGGACGAAAACCGCACTGTTCCTCCTGAATCCGAGGTTCCACTATCGGCCGTATTCTCCTCTCCAGTACCCTGGCATAGACTTTCCCAGGGAGGCTGAGAAGTGTGATCCCCCTGTAGTTGGAACACACCCTCCGGTCCCCCTTCTTAAAAAGAGGGACCACCACCATTACTGTCGGGGACAGTAATTTTATATATAGTTATGTTTATTTAATATAATAAACACAGAAGCATAAATAAAATGAGGAGTGTCTGTTTTGTCTGTTTTTGTGACTAACGTTTCTTTAGTATAGCAATAGAGTATAAAAACCAATATCAATTCTCGGTATAGCATTGGACTCTACGATCGGCGGAAGTAATCCAGCATCCTTAGACCTTCACCGGAAATACCGCCGTGCATAGAGCCCATTCTCACTTTTGCTTATTAGCATGCATATTACTGGGATATTAGCTGTTTATTAGTACTTATAAAGCACATACATTTTAAATTCTACATCCCTTTACCCTAAATGTAACTACCTCACATTATTAAGCAGTATACGATTTATTGAGGCAAAAGTTGTAGTTACTAGTTAGATAATAGTGCAAATTGGACCCTAAACTAAAGTGTGACCCAATATATATTTTTTTTATCTAAGTAGCTTTACAATTAACAAAGAGTATCAATTACAATATTTCCAAAAAGTCATTTGAATAAAAAAAAACACACAATAATTTTAAATAAGCCAATATATAAAAATGCAACCTAATGTCAAGAGCAATGACTCCTCTTATATTTCGCAATATATATGGATCTATATTTACAACAATTATCATATATTTGTGGAGGACTGATGATAAATCAAAAAATACATTTTAGCCAGGTGGTTGCTGTGCACTGGCATCATGGAAACTGTGGGTGTCAGCAGAGGCACATTAAAGCTGTTCAAAATCAGAACAAGAATTACTTTTGACACCTTTAAAAAAAAATACTGTTAGCAAATGTGATTTGTTTTAAAATGCTAAGCAACTCTCCGAATTACTTTTCCCTGGTAATTTTCCTGATGAAAAGGAGACATAAAAAGACCTGTTATATTCAAATACTGCAGGACACAACTAATTTTCCATTACAATATAACCAAAGCCACATGTGCAAGGAAAAGAGGCTTCCTTTTTTCCAGATGGTAAGCAGAACATACAAAAAGAAAAAGAAAAATCAATTGGCTTAAATGCATCTATTGATTTTTCAATGCAGCAATATTGACACATGCTTAATGTAGGATATTGTCTGCATGCAGAGACGGATTCCTTGCACTGTGGATAGAGGCATTTTTAACTAAACCAAATGTTAAACTGTCACTGTTATAACTTATACACCACATCTGCAATGTCACATTAATGGATAACTTGAACATGTATTGAAGCCAGAGCAATCCACTGACTGATGAAGGTTGCTTTAAAAACCTAGTTATTTTTAAGCATGACCTTCACGCTTACTGCTGAATTACCCTTGAAATAAAGAAAAGTTAAGTCAAAAATATAGCTCAGAAACAGTTGTGGTAATAAATGTTTTTACCATTAAAACTCATTACATCTTGCTGTATGAGATGTTATGGAACTGATATTTTCTACTGTGCCTGTGATGTCTCGAGCAGATCCAGAGCAATTTCTGCATGCTGATCTGCACAAAACTTTGAAAAGCCAAAGGCGGTATGATCTATACTGCATGTGGTTTTTGAATTTCTTTGTTTTTTTAGAAAACCTAACCTGGAATGACACTGTGGAGTGGTTTCAGTGGTTGAGCCTAAAGATCATGTTTTAGGGGGGATACAAGAGAATTCGAGAGAACCTGATCAAGGCAGAGAATACACTTTGTGAATTTCAGATCACCATCATATGGTACAGGTAAGGTTCCTAGATCCTATATTAAATCAATTTGCATAAACATTTACATGAATTAAGTATTCTGTCACTGTCCACACCATAGGTTATAAATAAAGCTGGTTTAAAAGAATAGTGCTTAAAGGTGCTTGTTGGGAATGGGATTATCTAACCATTGTATTGATTTATTTAGCTATTCTTTTTTAATGATTTGTTTTCAGTGACTTTTAGCTGATACCATGTGTCAGTTGTAAAGTCATTCAGATCTAATAAAAATGGCAGAGACAGCCTGATAATTGTTTTCAGGACAGCTACAGCTTGAAGGCTACCGCAATTTTGTTTCTTAAATCATTTATCTTATTTAAGGATGAATACTGGAGAGAAACTATAAAATACAGATCAAGACCTTTTAGGCCTACTTTTCTTTTTTTGCGGTGTTCTCAGGTTGTTCTGTTTAGCTGGTCTTCTTGATTCCATTATTAAATATTTTACTGCTGCAGCTTCTCAGTTTATTATTGTGCAGTATGTGTTCAAAATTGTGTCCAAAAGCAGGCACCATGCAGTAGCTGGCATAACGAATGACACATGCAAAGCAAAGCATGCAGATGTAGGCTAATATAGGCTACACGGTTAATGTTTGCCAAACATTTTATCATCAGAAGGGAAAGTTAATCTTAAAAATGAAAATTCTGAATTTCTGTCTATAACTTCTATAAGTTTCATCCGTGAAAAAAGTAACCAATAGCCATTTAATCTCATATCATCTTTATCCATATAATTGGAGTTGCTGAAAACATCAACGTTATGCCTAAAAGCTCCTATGGAACGACATGAGGGTGAGTAGGCTAATGATGACGAGACGGTCATTTTTGAGTGAGACAATGACATCCGCATAAAAATATCGTTTGCGTAGTGGCCTGTGTGAATATGAACGTGAAGGCAGTTTTTTTTATACAAAATTCATTTATTTCATTGGTGTATCGCGGCACAGCGCCACGACGGTTATTCGTGCTGATTGGCTCAAACGAGTGTTCGTTATTGAAAACCAGGGACGGGATTGGCTAACCTCCTGTCAACGTTTTTTCCGTTTGTGTTTGTCAACGTTCCAGGCTGTGAGTGATCTCATTGGCTCCTGTCAGTGGTTTGCTTGCAGCGGATTGGCTGAATGGGTCGCGCGTGTGACCCGCCTTGTTCTACCTGTCTCGCTATGAGAGGCTGAGAGATTCTTCCTGCTGTGTATGGAACAGAACCGCCCTGTTCACCCCCCTCCCCCGCCCTCCTACCAGTGGATCTCGTGTGCCGGTTAGCATGCCACTCAGACGCCGAATCTGCAGCAAATAAATCCAAATTATTAATACACAACGCCAAATTCCTGCAGTTGGAGCAAAGGCCTGGTTGCGCAGAAATATTGGCGCCGAGGAGGGAGCGGGTTGGTGGAAAGAGGGGTGCGTGGCGGTGGGAAGTGCTTTCCTAACCAAATCCTCCAGAACATGGCGGAGCACCACACCGCCTCCGACTGTAAGCACAAAGCGAGCTCCAACTCCGGAGGTTCGGTCTCGGGCAACGGACGGCCCAACTCCCCGGCTGGATGCAGCGGTGGAGGCCTGTCCGGGGGACTGACGCAGCCGGCGGGATGGCAGTCTTTGCTGTCGTTCACCATTCTCTTTCTGGCCTGGTTGGCAGGGTTCAGCTCTCGACTTTTCGCAGTTATTCGCTTCGAGAGCATCATTCACGAGTTTGACCCTTGGTGAGTATAAAGGCGGGCGGGTTGTGGCGCATTTATAATCTGACGTTTGGGGATGTAATGCACGATTAATCTCGCCGTGAATGAAATGTAACGTTACGTGCGGATGCACAGAGCTGCCGCGATCCTTCATTCATAATTGTCTCAGGAAGCGTTTTGTCTCTGTGCGGGTCCATGCTTGACAATTTTGACACGTAACCGCATGGCAGTTGTCCTCCATCTTATTATAATTCACGATAAACGAAATTGATTGTGATTGCGTTAGCGACATGCTATTCTAATTTTGCACGACTTTTGATTACTGTCTGTTGATATTTAATGAATATTACACCAAGGTGTCCTAAAAACCAAATCATCAAATTATTACTAAATATTATGTCAAAAATCGTTTTCATCAGTTTTTGTGGCATTAAGTCGTTTTACCATTTATTTCTTAATATACTAGTAATTTATTTTGTTACTATATCTTTTTGTTAATTATTAGTAGGCAATTCAATAGTGTCTAAAAGCTAACTAACATCATTAGTTGTGTTAGGCATCTATTTAGTTATTTGCTATTGCACATTCATTACATACTATGACCAGTCCTTGGCTACTAGTCAGTGAGATAGTGACTAATTACAATTGGAGTAAACAATTACCAGTGTCTATTCAACTAGTACTAGGAAAACTGGAATATGTAAAGTAGGCTACTTAGAATGGCTTCGGCTATGTATTCAAAATAAGTTCCTGATGATTAGAGGAAGTGGTAAAACTTGAATGGGTACTACTAGTCAGAAGTGAATATCTGAACCACACATCACTAAAGTGAACAATCACAAGTGTGTACTAACCAGTAACAGTAGAATAGTTACTTTTCACTGTTTGGAAAATGATTAGAAACATGAGTAATATATTGTGAAATTCAAGACATTACTCACTATTGGATCACATTTACTTAACATGGATGATTTTTTACTATTGATTATTGTTAATCACTAGTAAGTAATTATACAGGGACGAGGGCTTGACATTAACTTTTTTTGCTCACCAGCCACTGTGACTAGTGGTTTTCCAAAGTTACAAGCCACTCAGCATTTTCACTAGCCACAATTTTGACATCGATACTATGGGGAAATATAAGATATATTTTTTTATATTATCTCATAATTTGGCAGCAGGTTTATTGGAATCACTCTAAGACCTGACGCATGAAACTAATATACTGTTACATGTGTATTTTCTTTCATTTTCTCTCAACTGTTTACGTTCACTTAAAACATAACTGACTGTTTATGTGAATACTTGCCAAGACTGGCATTTTGACATTATTTTGTGTGTATTTGACTGTTTAAGCGCAATAAGCAGCGGAAAAGAACTCAATTTAGTTCTGAGAGGCGGCTTTATGTGCGCACAATTTGTGTGAGCACAAAATCTGCGGGAATAAGTAAAATTATACGCAATCCCAAGCTGAAATTCAAGCCCTGTAGCACCAACAATATTCATCCGGAGCAAATGAAACGAGTGAGTGAGGGGAGGTGGATTACTTTTCACTATATAATATAACATTGTGACCGACTGCAAACCTACCCTGTTTGCAGCCGATTGATGATGATGATATAACATGGACCGCTGGTAATTAAAATAAGTTTTAGTAACAAAAAATATATTTTCAGTTTAAAGAATTTAGTGTTAAAATGGCTTGGCGTACAGTATTATCACCTCCTGATACTATTAATGTGGCTTATTCATAAAAATCTGTTTCATAACAATGTCAGATTTTCAGATAAGTGTAATTATTTTGATCTGCAGAGCTGTCAAATGCAAGCTCTTAACTTCTGCTTTAGAGATAATGGTGTATTTTTAGCACTTAAATGTTTAATCCATTCATGATTCATAGGTTTGAATTGAATTTGAAACCCCTTGTGCAGTAATTGCATCCAATTGAGATTCAAAAGCATTTACTTCCTGTTCAACATATAGACACATACTGTCAATAGTTTCCTTATGTCCTCGGTTACGAGTAGTGAAGGCATACCTGTTTATCAAACTGTTATATAAAGTCTCAAGGTGGTAAATGAGGCTCGCTGGATTGATTTAGGTCAACTTTTGATTTGATCAATCGGAAACTTTATAGTCACACTTCGCACCATGACAGATTATTTAAACAAATGAATGGTATAATCAGGCATGTTAAATTGCATTTCAGCAGTTATGCTACACTTCTTCTCTAAGAGAATAACAGCAGGACGGTATGGTCCCAATTTTCAGATTTGCAGTCATAACTTGAGGGTCATGGTGCTCTGCATTCATTAGTCTGAATGGAAGATCAGACAGTGTTATCTATGTGCTTAAACTAATTCTTAACCTGCCTCCTAGGCTAAAATTAATGTTATTCAACGGTAGAACATCCTCATGCAAAGCAGGTGAACATGCTATTTTTTTGTTGTTGTCTGCCGGTCCTGGTTTCCTCTTAGGTGCTGAATAGCTTGGTCGTTACTTGTGATGCAACTGAAAATATTTGCCCAAAACGGCATAAAAATAAATTTGATTTCGGGCTGAAATCATTGACCGAAACAATGACATTTAATGAGCACTTCTGTGGTGATGCGTTTTGACTGTCAGTGTCTATTTTGTGCACACAACGTGGATTAGCTACAGCCGGTAAACATGTCAGCAGTGTGGACACACTTCACCGTGACCAAAAAATGATGCTAGGGTAGAAATGTCAAATTTGTTCAGCTGAAATAAATATTGCGAGGTGGCTTGTTACTGAAGAACTACACATAGTTTGTATATATGTAATGTGTGTGTGTGTATATATACATTAAACAACATGCTATATATATATATATGTTTAATGCATGTTGTTTAATGTAATAGTTTAACCTGTGAAAACAACACCTTGAACATAAGAGTTCATAAAGAGTTAAATTACCAAAACCTACTATATCGGTGGATCACTAATCATGCAGCGTGTAACGTCATAAATGATAGTGTATTTAATTTATGATGGAACACACAAACTTGAATGCAATTCATTTTGTGTAATGAAAAAAAAAAATGCTGGCATAATTTTGGTGGTTTCTATGGGCGTTAAGAGTCTTGTCATGAACTTTTTTAACTTTGTGGCCTATCCATGCTATCCATATCCTGATCATCGCTGTACTTTCTTGATCTAGCAACCTCTAATCTGATTGGCTAAATTAAAAGAATTTCTGGGAGGTTGTGCACATATTTTCGGTCTGCCTTGAAACAAAAAACTTGTGTTTTCAAAGGTACCTGGTTGACGCAATAAGTGCTTTTAAGCTTGACATCACTATATTGGCCAGAGTTTGCAAAATTAATGTCTTCAGATGTTTGAAAAATAATGGGCACTTTCAGTTTCTTGAAACCATCACCCATTTTCTCAACTTTTAAACAAAACCATATCTTCAGACTACATTCACAAAACCACTGACTCTGTTGGCAAAATAAAACCTTTTCACCTGTTCTTAAAATCAATCAAATCTTTCAGATCATACACGCATCAGTCAATAAACACTACAGAGCATTCATTAGACACTACATAAAAAAATGGAGAACACAGCATCCAGAGCATGTGAAAAAAAGTACTGTAATTGCAACTTAGTAAGGTGACTTGTATACTGTATGTACTGCAAGTATAGTATTGTATTGAATATTGTATAATTGAATTTCTGTATATTCAGCAGTAGTCCAACTGCAAAAGCCCAAAATGTTATAGTACACACAAAAAAAAAAAAGGCAAAACTGCAAAATCAAGGTCAATGAGAGATTCACTCTACCTCAGCATTTGGTCTGAGGAATTTTTGTCCACATCACAGGCAATGCTGTCCCTTGCCATGCATAGGAAAAAATCTTTTGTTGTGCCGCATCCAGCCTTGATAACACACTCCGATCTTTTTTTTGTGCTCCTCTTTCCTCATCCACCACCTCTTACACGTACTCTTCCTACTCTCCCTCTCAGATCGTTTCCATCCATTGTTCGTATCAACATTCAGTGCACACACCAGTGCACTCTGAACTGACTTTTATTTTGTACAGTTGGTTTGTTCACATCATTAGAAACAAGTGTGAACAATTGAGTTATTAAATGACGGCAACTGTGTTGACAACTTTTGCCGCTTGCGTTTACCGTTTTCCAACACGCTGCATCACAGTGTGAAATGTGTTTCAGTGAGTATTTTTGCTAAAAAAGTGCACGAGAAGAATTGGAAATGGTGTCTAATTACCTGAACTTATTTAAGGATTTGACAAAAGAGTGATTTATCTGACAAATATTTAGGTCACTGAGCCTTTGCTTCAGAGAATAGGGTTTAGTATTTTAGCAATTGAGAAAAACTAGTAGCACGTTAACCACATCGATGAGCAGAACTGAATTTCCTATTTGTGGTCTATTATTTCAGTTATTTTTCTAGTTATTATTGTGGTCTATTAGTCAGTCCCCTGATCTGCATGTTAACACTAACAAACGGTGGTTGGTTGCTTTATATGTTGGCCAGACATCATCTTTGTGTAGGAAGAAGGTTTTACAGTCCGCCTGATACAGTTTAATACTGCAGTAGTCCAGTAGGAACGCCTACTAGCAAACAACAGCACAGAGAATTGGCCATTTAATGTGAACTATGTGTGAACACCCCTTAAAGCACATGTTCTCATTGGCTCAGGGTTTCATTGACTAATGGAGTAAGTTACTATATGACTATATAGCACCACTTGCATGAGTAGATTTAATTAGCTAACAGGTCATTGCTGTTTGCTAATGACCTTTCTGAATTGTATTGGTATAGTTTTCTAAACCATTTACATACGATGGGTCAGCCAACCGTGCCTGTCATTATCCCATTTACATTCAGAGTGTGCATAAAACACTGCATATTCTGAATCTGAAATGGGCAAATCACTTGGGCAAATCTGCCGGCATCTGTTAATGCTGAAGTTGTTTTTTTTTTTTTTTTCAATGTTAAAATCATTTCTCCTGTCCTTCTCCTGTCCTTGCTTGT